CCACACTTAGATATGTTGTTGAGAGCAATGAGACATAGCTTTGGCTTTTCTAGCTGTGTAGATGACAAACAGAATGACAATTTGAGCAATTAAAACAATTGGGAACTTTGGCAATTTGTAAACACATTAGTACAACAGAAAGCTTTTAAGTCAGGAAAATGTAAAAAAAAAAAAAAAAAAACAGAAAATAACAAAAAAATATCCCTCTGGATGCTAAGATGTGACTGAGGTGAATTAAAATACCGCTGAGAACACTTCAGGGAAATCCCTCTAGTTGTAAACAGCATTGCAAGAGAGAAAAGTACTGCAATGCATAGGAGCTGTTCATCCCACATGCCTGTATTGTATAGGTAGCCATCTGGCTGGACCTAGTTTAATTGTGTTGAGAGGGGCAATAAACAGAACAATCAGAAAAGAAGTGGAATTTAAAAAGTACAAAAAAAATTAACTTACCAAGATCTATTTATCAATATTTAACTGCCTGAACAAGGTGACCACTTTTCATAGCAAAGGATAAAATTGTTCTAGAAGGTGCAGCTGTTTCTTAAAATAAGATGGAACATGTAAAATTACAGGGGGGATGGAGGGAGGTGTTTGTTTCTCAAGTGGTTGCATCCTATACAGAGGCATTTCCTTACTAGACACTTGTAGCCTGAATCCAAATTCCTAATAAACATGTTCTGAGTTGCCATAATTAATTACCATAATAATTTTACCTATATGCAACATGGGGAAAAAAAGCTCCTTGATAGTATTTTCTACCCACTTTCAAAGGAGTAAAGGACAATGTAGAGTACAATATGCTGGAGAACTGTGTTTAAAGCAATGTTATTTAGCCTGTTTTTTCTTCCCTTTTTGTTTCCTATTCTCCCTTATTGTAGTCTCTGTTAGATACTATATATCGGTGAGCATTTAATTAGAGCAGCCCCGCAGTACAGAGCTAGGAATCACAATTTCCTGCTCATCCAGCAACATGGCCACAGTTCAGAGTCTGGCCATAAAAATTAAGCTGCAGCGTTTGTGTTTTTGAAAGATTTCTCCTTTGCTTCTGAAGCACATAGTGCATCTTAAAATCTTTTGACCTTCATATATATTTGTAACATTTATGAGTGCATGTGCCATTTGAAGAACACCAATTTTTACGCTGCAAAACAAGTGCCCACGTGGAAGAAGGTTACCACGCAAGCATCCCTCCTAAGGGCTCTATGGAAGTATCAAATCTGAAATTTTAAGAAATGCAGCAAAATATCTCCTGCCTGCAAAACGCGCTTTTAGCCTTGTAAGTTTGGGGCTGAATAAGGAACATTTAACTTCCAAGAGTCGTTGCTGAAAAAGCACTGAATTAAGCCTTTTAGCAGGTACCCAGAAAATTAAATCTTGGCATTCGGCAAATTTTTTTCTGTGCTCTCAAATAATGAATTAAACAAGTGAGCATTGCCAAGCAACATGATATATGAGGGAGAGGGAGGCAAAGGAAACACAGTGTTTCTCCAACCAGCCACTTCCATATGGAGCACATGGATAACAGTCCAATTCCGTCTGCTCTTAGTGAGGCTGTGGTTTCACCTGATGGATCAAGCAGTGCTAACCCCCATGAAAAAGGAGAGGTCCTGTTTTTTCCCCCCACTGCAGCCTCACTCTTTGTTCCTGGCCCCCTGCCTGCTTGCTGCTCCTTGCTCTGGCTTTGTGGCTTAGTGGATCCACCTGTGAGTCAATTTAAATCAGCAGAAGACAAGGATATTTCCCTGCTGGCTCAGAGCATTGAGTCAGCTCAGGGAAAGGTGACACAACAGAGGAGGCAAGGCAGTGGTGGTCAGCAGCTGGAGGAGGCAATGAGGTCTTCCCTTTTTGTTCAGTAGGGAAACATGGGATAAGGCTTTCTCTTGATACCATTTCCTATAGTCAGAGTGCTGGGGTCCTCCTCTGGTGGGTACATCCCCTTAACTCTCCTTTGGCTCAGGGTGGTGGTGTGTCTCTTGGCTCTCCCCCTGATCCAGGTCAAGCTCATCAGTAACCCTGTGACCGACATCACGGTAGCCCTGTGACTCTTCCCAGCGGGTAGAGGCACCTCCTTGGCTGCAGAGTCCTGCTATGTCGGCAGGAGTCAGCTGCCTTTCTCAGACAGTCTGCTCCTGGCTGCTCTGGTGGGATCTTTCTGTAGGAAATTCAGCCCTCCGGAAAGGAAGCAACAGCACTGCATGATCTCTGGGTTGTTTTTATTGCAGAACCCGAAAATCTGACTTTGTGCACCTTTCT